AACCTGAGTCTAATCAAGTTTTTCCAATGTCCTGTACAACACTACCTTAATATGGTAAGGAACAAGTTAAATGGCATCAAAAGGAAATAACCACATAAATTCTGAATGTGAAGTGGGTATTTTGTTTGTTTGTTTGTTTTCAGTTTTACTATAGGGAGTGTCTGCTCCCTGGAGAGAGAGAGGAGGAGAAAGAAAAAGAGAGAGAAAGTAGGACAGGACCCCTCAGGGGCATAACAATGCCCCAATTCTTTCTCCTCCATTCTCCTCCCATGACTTTGGGGACACACACACACACGTGCCTGACACGGTTTCAAGCCACCGGGCCTGGGATTCAAACTCTCAAGTTGGCCATGTGGGATCTAGCTGTCATAACCATGCCACCAGATGGCCATGAATGTAGAGTACTTTATAAGACAAACAGCCTGGGACTTAACCAATTGGTGACAAGAGAAACTTTTCAAAAATGAGGAGACTGTTCAAGACTAAATGAAACATTACACTTTAATAATAATGGTTTGGGAAAAATCAAACTGAAAGACATTTATGGGGAAAACTGAACATGGACTGGACATCAGATTTATAGTAATATAGAAATACTATTAATTTTCTTAAGTGTTATAATCAAATAACAACAGTTAGATATGAGATTGACTTTTTCCTTAAGAAATACATTCCATCAACCAACTGTGGTGGCACAGCGGTAATGCAATCTAAAGCTACCTGGGAGGGTCCCGGCATCCATCCTGAGGCTCCCCAACACACACACACACACACACACAAGGGCATGGGCACGTCGCTGTAACTGTGCTGGCTGAGCCTGAGGGTGTGCTGTGAAAGCCCCGGTGGGTGCCTGTGTCACCTGCACGTGCTTTCTCTCCCAAGGATAAAAATTCATTTAAAAAAGAGAAATGCACTTTCTACAACTTACTTTCAAATATGACACCATATATATTTTAATACTATAAATATATGTAAATTACATAATTAAACAGTATATACTGACTAGAGGGAAGGAGCAGACTGTGTGTCCAATTATGAGAAAATGCCAACTGGAAATCAATGTAAAGAAAGATGGATGTTCATTGTACTGCTTTCTTATCTGCTGTATAGCTAAACTTGTTTAAAGCTTTTTTCCTTTGTTTACGATAAAGTGTACATGTGCATATGAGGGAGGAAGGGTGAGTGCCCTCCACAGGGTCTGGTGTTAGACAAACACTTTCCTCTAGTCTTCCAGCCTGCTGGAACTTGGGCAAGCATGCACGTGCCCAGCTCGCTTCCGGATGACCAGGTGAGGGATTCAAAGCAATCACCATGTAGGATTCAACTTCTCTTGAGCAAGACTCTACAGCTGCACCTTAAGTTGGTCCCTATTTGAACTTTTTCGTACAATTAATAAAACGTTTTGAATGCTTTAAATAGGCAGTTCTCAAAATGCTTTTCATGGACCCTAGAGACCCACAACTCTTTCAAGGTGTCTACAAAATGAGAAACAATACTTTCATAATTACAGTATCACTCACCTTCCTTGCCATGTTGACATTGCGTGCATGGTACCGAGGTATGACGTGGAAAAACCCACTAGTGTCTTGGCCTGCATCAAGGCAGAGAGCCTCTATCTAACTACACTAGTAGCCACACTCTTCACTGCTACGAGCCTGCAATTAAAAAATAAAATGCTGGAGCCAGCTCTTTGGCTCAGCAGTAATACACTGCTCCAGAGGCCAGATCCCACATGGCAGCTGGGATTCGAATCCTGGACTGGTCAGCCTGCAATGAGTTGGCACACATGTTGAGTGTCCAAGATCTGACAGGCTGGAAGACTGGAGGAAGGAGACTGAGACGTGACCTGATGCTGTGGCAGGTCACACGGGTCTCTCACATGCACATGCTTTATCACAATGTTTAAAGTTCTTTAAAATAAATAAATAAAATGCTGGCCAGTCATGGTGGTGCAGTGGTAGCAGGCAGTCCTACCACAGTGGAAGCCATAAGGAAAATTGGGACTGGTTCTCCAGGTAACCAGCACATGCAGCAGACTGGAGAGGCTGGGGAAGAATCCCAGTGTAAGACTCTGTTGGAGGGCTTGCCTTCTGTGTGTCTTTCTCATGAAATAAGTAAACAAGTAAAAAGCCAGTTTCATTTAACTTCTGATCAAGTAAAAATCACTAATTTTATTAAATCTCAACCCTCGAATACACTAACATCCGTGTAACATAGTAAGTGTGCATTAAACACTTCTGTATACAAAATATGGAGGTTATATCAAGGAAAAAAGTACCACTTCGAGCTTCAAGTTGAACTAGCCATTTTTTTCCTGGAACATCACTCTTCACTTGAAAGACTCACAGACATGTTTTTTCATTGGATGCATATCACTTGCACACCATCGTAGACTCATCATAAGTCTGGGACCATCAACTATTTTTTTTTAAGGGTACGTGGCTATGCCAGAGAGACAGAAAGCAAGATCACCTCCCAGGGGGATGGCTATGCCACAATCTCTTCTCCTCCAGTCTCCTCTCAGGAATTTGGGCAAGAATGCACACAGGCACAGTATGAGTTTTAAGGCGCCAGGTCCGGGACTCGAACCATGGTCAGCTACACAAGAATCCAGCAATGTGACCATTACACCATCCACTGGGACCATCCATTCTTAAAAACTGTTATGGTGAGTTCCGATATTAATGTAATACTGTACAACGAAAGATGTACAGAACCAGTATTCTCCAAATGATCAATGCATGATTTTTACAAACAACAGGTAAATAGACTCATTCAAAATTCCAGATAGAGTAACAGATTTTAATGTAACAATGTATGAGGTTCATTGGCATGGTGTTTTTATTTTTTAATTTTTTTAACTGCCCTATAGGGTGCATGCACTTGCTGAAGAGAAAGAAAGAGAGAGAGAAAGCACCCCTCCCCATGGGGGATGAAAATGTTACAATCCCATCTCCTCCACATTCTTCTCTCAGGATTTGGGTACACAAGCCTGGCATGTTTTTCAAGCTGCTGGGTCTGAGACTTGAACCATGCAGTCGGTCATGTGGGATGCAGCCACCCTATCCACCATACCACCTGGCAGTCCCTGCATGGTTTTAGACTCCAATTTGCAACTGATCTTTAAGAAACTTCCACATTTGGAGTTTAGGTTTAATATCAAAGAAAAATATCCAGAATTACCTGAAGGGGCTGTTAAATATAACTACAGGCCCAGCCATTGTGGCACAAGCATCAAGTTTCAAGCAGAATGCTGGAAATTATATGGGAAGGTTCCAGGTTCAAAGCCCAGGTCTAACTAAACACACTGGGCACACCTGTGCTCCTGTGACTGGCAACAGAGTTTAAGGGAGAACTGCTACATAAAAACCGACTAAGGTGCCTGTTCATCTCTCTCAAATAAGAAAATAAACTTCTTAAAAAATGAAACACAACTAGATATGTGTACAGTTAGGTTTCCTTCATACATTACAACTAATACAGCATAATAAAACATACTGAATGTTGAAAAAGATAGGAAAATCTAGCTACCTTTCATTAATAGTTTTTTTTTTTTTTTTTTTTTTTAATTAATCCAGGTTTTAAAAAAATTTTTCCCTGGGGGCTGGCAGGTGGCATGATGGTTAAAGGTACAGGATTCCCACATAGTTCAAATCACAGACAAGGTGGCTTGCTTTCTCACATTTTCTTTCTCTCTCTCTCTGGTCAGATTAAAATAATAATACTAACGAATGGAATTAAATAATTAATATATATATAAAGATTTTCTCCTAAAAGAAGGCAAAACAATACTGTTTTCAAATTCTGCTGTGAAAATAATTATTCATAAAAAATTTACATTGAGGGACCAGCAGTTAGCATAATGGCTATGTCGCTGGACTCCCATGTAGTTGACTGCAGTTCAAGTCTTGGACCCGGCTGCTAAAACTCATGCCGGGGGCGTGTGCGTGCGTGCCCAAGATCCCAAGAGGAGAATGGAGAAGGGATTGCGGCGTGGCCATCCTCCCTGGGGGGTGATTTCTCGCTTTCTGTCTCTCTGTCTCTCTCTGGCTTTCTGGCAAGCGCACACGCCCTATAGCAAAAACCTCTCCAAAAAATAAATAAATTTTAAAAAAATAAAATAAACAAATAAATAAATAATTTACATTGAGGGACCAGCAGTTGGTGTAATGGCTATGTCGCCAGACTCCCACGTAGGACCACAGTTCAAGTCCTGGACTCAATGGTTGAAACTCACACGAGGCACGTGTGCATGTGTGCATGCCCAAGATCCTGAGAGGAGACTGGGGCAGAGCGGAGTGTGGTGTAGCCATCACCCCTGGGGGTGATTTCTCGCTTTCTGTCTCTCTGTCTCTGTCTTTTTTTTTTTTTTTTTTTTTGAGAGGTTTTCGCTATAGGGCTCATGCGCTCGCCAGACAGACAGAGAGACATGGAGACAGAAAGCAAGAAATCACCCCCTAGAGGGGATGGTCACGCCGCAATCCCTTCTCCATTCTCCTCTCGGGATCTTGGTTACACACGCACACGTGCCCGGCGTGAGTTTTAAGCCACCGGGTCCGGGACGCGAACCGCAGTCAACTACGTGGGAGCCCAGCGACACGAGGCACGTGGGTGCATGTACACAAAAAGGGATCACAGTGTGGTCATCCCTCCCGGGATTGCTTTCTCACTTTCCCTCTCGCTGTCTCCACCAAATGCACATGCCCTATAGCAAGAAAAAAAAAATTGGGGGGACAGATAATGGGGCGACTACACAATACTTTCACAATACTGTGAAATCATTTAATGCCACTGACTTATACACTTGAAAATGGTTAAAATAATATTTATGTTACATACAGTTTACCACAATTTGTTAAAATGGTTATCATTTTAAAAATTATTTAGCTATATCCCTTGAAAGATATTTGCTATGTTAGTAATGTTCAAATGAAATATTAACAGCTGAGCCCTCCAATAATAAATAAATAAACAAGTATCACTAGTAGCACTTTACTTACCCGTTTGGGGCCACTAAAAATCTTTCTTGTATTTTCCTTTGATTTGTCTCCTTGTTTATTTACGGGTTTCTTCACACTTTCAGGCACCCCAGGCAAGTCCTCTGTAAAATCCAAGTTTTCTGAAACAGTAATCAAAACTACTAGCTTTCTAATGTTCCAAATTATCTAACAGATAACCTGTAGGAAAATGTTTTAACATATTGTGGAGACGAAACAAAGTTATAAAAGCAACACAGAGCTGACAAAGTACTCCTGCAATTACTGCAAATTCCTACTCTCATCCCTGCTTGGCCCTCCCCGAGATCACGTACCTGCGGCTGCTGCGTATGAGCGCTGGCTGGTTCTGTGTGGATGTAACTACTGTACTGCAAAGGTCATACTAACTGCCTGGCGCACTGATACTGGCATGCTTAGTCTGCACATGTACACACATCAGGGGATTAGCCTTTGACAGTATTTTACACTCTAATCCCACTAAGGCATGTTGGCCTTTGTAGAAGGCCAGCCTGCATCTATGAAGGGCACGTTTTAAAAACGAAAAGGAGACAGCTCTGTGGGCAAATGATATGAAATGACCCAGTATGATGCAGTTCAGTGGTCGGTGGGTCTTCACACAAAACTAAACAAAAGATTAGATTACTTCTCAAAACTTTTTTTCCCAACCTAAACAAAAAGAGAAAACTAGGAAAACTTCTCTATCCCTATCCTTAAAATTGTTTGCTGTTTGGGGCCAGCGGGTAGTGTAGTGGTTAAGGTACTGGATCCTATGTGGCCAACTCAGTGGTTCGAGTACCAGCCCTGGTGGCTTGAAAAACATGCTGGCCACGTATGTGCACCCAAAATCCAGAGAGGGGCATAGAGAAGGGATTGTGGCACGGCCATCCCTCTGGGGAAGGAGGGAGTGATGTCTCAATTTCCCTCTCTCCTGTCTTTCAGGGAGTACATACGCCCTATAACAAAAATCCTTAAAAAAGAAAAAAGAAAAAAAAACTTGCTTATACGAGTAAGCCTAACCCTAAAATTCACGTAAACTGGCAGAGCAAGGGCTCAGGCAGGGCACAGGGTTACCCATCCTTTTGAGAAAGCAACTGCGAATCTGTCCTGCCCAGCCAGACCACAATGGACTAGACACAGGTTATCCACAGGAGATCCAAGACGACATGAGAAGAATTCTGACAATACTCTCATTTTGGCTTTTCTGCAGAGGGATGTGGGGAGTTCGTAGGGACACCCCTGCAAAATTCTAATCTTGAAGATAAGAATGATTCTAATGTAGCAAAATTATTTTTAGGCCACATCAGGCAAATTCCCAAGTAGTCTTAAGGATGGCTTGTACTTTGCATGCAGATCTCTATTTAAAAATACCATAATTCTGGGACCAGCAGATGGCATAATGGTTATGTCACTGGACCCCCCACACAGTTGACCGCAGTTTTAGTCATGAATCCGGTGGCTTAAAACTCACACAGGGTGCATGTGGGTGCATGCCCAAAATCCAGAGAGGACTGAAGGAGAAGGGATTGTGTAGCCATACCCTGTAGATGGTAATTTCTTGCTTTCTGTCTGTCTCTCCAGCAAGCACATGCACCCCATAGCAAAGATTTCTCTTCAAAAAAAAAGTATTATAATTCTAATTTGCTATAAAGATACTTATTCTATGACCCTAACAAGACAAAATCTTTATTTTATTTAAATAAGTAAACTGTTGAGAAAAACTGTATTTGGTTAAGAAGCCTGTATTCCACAGGCTTTCACATACTCTTCCTCGCCATGCAGTCAATCCCCTTCACAAAGCCCTTGTCAGGTAATGACTTAATTATAGCAGAAGTAACCTATTTCTTTTGTTTGTCTCTCATGGGTGGAGACTGAACTCCTTGAGGATCTCTAGCTATTCCTGGGCCTATCATTTTGAGAAAGAAATTAAATCCTCATTATTAAAAAGGAATAAATACTGGGGGCCAACAGACAGTCTGGTGGTTACTGCAGCTGAGTCCCCCACATGGCCAACTGGATGGTTTCAGTCCCAGACCCAGACCCAACAGCTTGAAAACTATACTGAGCACATGCGCGTGCATGCCCAAGATCCCAAGAGGTGGACGGAGAAGGGACTGCAGGAGGACATCCCCTCTAGGGGCTGTTTTCTCATTTTCCCTTCCTGTCTATGGCTGTCTTCAGGAAGCGCACATGCCCTATAGTTAAAAAAAAAAAAAAGTGAATACTTACCTAGCATTTCTCAGTTGTATTAAATGAACTTAAGACAGTTTGAGAATGTTAGTGTGTGTGTGTGTGTGTGTGTGTGTGTGTGTGTGTGTGTGTCTGTACATGCACGTTTATTTTAAAGACAGGGTCTTGGGCCAGCAGATAGCATGGAAGTTAAGTGCTAGATCCCTCATGGCCAACGGCTCAGTTGAGTCCTGGACCCCACAGCTTGAAAATCACTGGTGCATGAATGCCCAAAATCCCTAGAGGCGAGTGGAGGAGAAAGGACTGATGTGGCCATCTCTCCTAGGGGGCGATTTCTCACTTTACCTCTCATTGTTTCTCCTCTTTCTCCAGCAAGCACACAAACCCTAAGGCAAAAACCTCTCAAAAAGTAAATAAAGGGAACCAGCAGTTAGCGTGATGGCTATGTCGCTGGACTCCCACGTAGTCGACCGCGGTTCGTGTCCCGGACCCGGTGGCTTAAAACTCACGCCGGGCGCGTGTGCGTGCGTGCCCAAGATCCCGAGAGGAGAATGGAGGAGAAGGGATTGCGGCGTGACCATCCCCCCTGGGGGGTGATTTCTCGCTTTCTGTCTCTATGTCTCTCTCTGTCTGTCTGGCGAGCGCACGCGCCCTACAATGAAAATCTCTCCAAAAAAAAAAAAAGTAAATAAAGAAAGACAGGGTCTCACTAGCTCAATCTCAATCCTCCTGTCCCAGCCTACCCAGGAGCTGGGACACAGGTACACACGACCAGGCCTAATTCTTTCAGATAGGGTCTCACCATGCTGCCAGGCCAGCCTTGGCCTCTCACCCGAGAATCTGGGACTACAGCACACACCATTGCACTCAGCCTTGGGAGGGGACTCGCCCAGCCTAAGCCCAGGGAGCAGTGCAGCACATGCAACTGTGGCTGGGCCAAGGATTTTTTTTTGTTAGTTTATTAGTTTCTAAACCAACCACAAGGATTATTCATTTTAATTTTCTGTGGGTTCTGTCATTACAACCATCTGTTATGGGTCTAGTTCTAAATACCCAAGACCTATCCCTGTTTCTCTACTGAACTTGGATTTACAAAGTGGACACATCACAATGTTCACTATCACTGCTCCAGAGACACACGCTTTAAAACCCTCACATGCTGACCTAAGACACGAGACTCCCCAGGCTACACACTGGTTCTTTACAACGTGGGACACAATCATTAGCACTTAAAATGCTATGCCTTTGGATAGTCACCTGTGGGTCTAAACCGGCACCTCTGTTAATATTCAATATAATAAGCAATAATTCAGCTCCAGAAAAAAACAAAACAGCTGTTTATTTAAGCCTGAAAAACACATCTACTTGTTATGCTTTTAAAGAATCTTACCTGCATTATTAGTAGTAGACTGGCTATCCTGGAAATGCTCACTGCTTTCTGGGGGAGGCTGCAAGGAGGGTGATGGAGTTGTTTTAGTTCTTTTTTTGTCTTTCTTTCTTTCCACTTGACAGTCATCGTCGTCTTCATCTTCACTTTCACTGAGATCGTCAAAGCCAAAATACTTAATTTTGTAATTAGAACTTCCAGAACCTCCTTCATCACCTCCTGTCTCATCATGATCTTCAAAACCAAAAAATTCAAGTTTAACATCCTTTTTGGATTTAGTATTACTAGGTCGAAATCTAGTAGTGGTCTTAGAAGTTGCAATATCTGCCTTTTTTCTGAGACGGCCAGCTTCTCCCAGATCTGCAGGAGTAGATGCGGTGAACTCATCCATGCTGCGTTCCATGGTATCCTGGATGGTAACATTACAAACTGACAAGCAAGACGGATGTAAAACAGTGTAATCTCTAGTCCGTCCAACTGTCCCTCTAAAACTGGTCCCACAACTTACACCACCTTTCTTTGCCTGATTCAGGCCATCTTTACTAGGTTCACTGTTTGCTTTGGCTAAGGCCTGACTGGTACCATCCATTAGCTTATCAAAATTTGATGCTCCTTGAGAGGATTTCGTTTTATTGGCCCTACAGTACGTCCTACAATTGCTTGGCCTAAGAACACTTTGCACAATGTCTTCTTCAATGGCTTCATTTAGATTTTCCAATCGATTTTTTAAATCGTCATCCTTCATCTCCAAGAGAGGATCACTATCCAAACTCAAGATACAATCTTCTGCTCTGATATCTTCAAAATCATTATCCCATTCATATAAACCAGTTCTTATAGATCCCTTGATTGGAGAGACTTCTGATGGGGAGTCTGACCTTTTCCCAAACTGGGAGTTCCAAGCATCATTTGTTTCCTTGATTTCATCAGCTTTGTATCCAGAAGCCACTGTGGTTTCTACACTGAGTTTCTTAGTACTATCTTCAGCATTTTTGTTAAAATGGTGACTATTCTTTTCATGTTCTTCACTAAAATTCTCCACTTTATCTATAAAAATAAAAACAAGTCAAATAATAACATGAGTGGCATCAATTTAAAAGGTAATAGATAACAGGGATATTTGGCAACTTAGCAACACAGAACCAACTGAAATAATAGGGCCTGCAGTTGGTGTGGTGATTAAGGCACTTGGATTCCTACAGGGCCAACCACAGCTCAAGTCCCAGATCTGGCAGCTTGCTTTCTCACTGCACTCCCTCTGCCAAATAGCAAAATTACTTTAAGGAATATGCTTACTTATTTAAAAAGTCATTTACAAATTTCAATTCATAAACCATCAAATACACGTGAGAAGGATGCTTCACATGGACAAATTCACTGTACAATTTTTTTCTCTGTCTGTCTGTCTATCTCTGGTGAGTGCATGTACCCTGTAGTAAATTAAAGAATCATAATGATGATAGTAATAATGACTATTATAATTATTTTTAAAAGGAAACAATTACAATTTTAAGTTGAAATAAAAAGTAATGTTTATACATCAGACATTTCCTCTCTTATTCAGTACACAGCACTTGCATGTTCTAGTGACCTTTCCACAGGCATCAAGTTCCTTAAAAATATGTCCTAAACTCTTCACAAGACATTTTCAAGAGTGTTAAGGAATTCAATTGATTTAGAATAACATGTAAAAGACGCAGCCAACTCTTTCTACAAATATTATGGTACTTTCAAATAAAAATATTTAAATTAAAAAGTATTTAGTAGAACCTCAACTAGCTTAACCTAATTAAATAAAATCCTTCTGGCAGGATGTGTATCTGGGGCAAAGCTACCCATAAGGCATGCTAGTTGTGTCAAGAAACCTGTCAACCGGACCAGGTTTCTCTAGCTACCTTCCATTCTTTCTTCTAATCCTCAAGATTCAAACAAGTATTATAATTAATTCACTCAGCATTTACTGGTAGACTAACACTGGCAAAATGCTTTACTCTATGCCAAATAGCAAAATTATTTTAAGGAATACGCTTACTTTCTTAAAAAGTCATTTACAAATTTCAATTAATAAACCAACAAATACACGTGAGAAGGATGCCTGTCATGGACAAATTCACTGTACAATTTTTAAAGCTACCCAATAGGTTTAAATATAACTAGTTAAGATGTGCATTTACTTACCTTTAGAAAGCATCTAATTAAACATGGTATATCTGCTGTATTCTTAGGTATTTCCCAGCTAAAGGCAAGAACTATGGTTTTCATCTCAGAAGCATCAATCACTAATCATAAGATACTGAAAAGCTAAGAATTAAAAGCTGACTGCTTTTAATCTGTGAAGGGGTACAGGCAAGTCAAGTCTGAAACCTAACTTGAAGACATAATCCCAGAGCTTCTGTAACAAGTAAATAAGCACTTGTAGCTAAGCCTGGAGACTTGTGTTGCCCTCACTAAACTTTCTCTCGTATTTCTCAGAAGACCCCAACTTTGGGAGTTTTCCTGAGAGTTTCAAACTCATCTGTTCAATAGGGGTACCACTAATCTCACCTACTGTTTCAGTGCTATGAAATGAATTACTGGAATACACACCTCTAAGGGCACTTAGTAAATAAATGCTTGGTGTGCTTAGTACATAAAGGTCTATGAGATGTCACGAAATGTTAAGCTGTGATTTTTTTTCCCTCCCTATGTTACTATCCCTCCTGCTTCAGCTTCCCAAGTCCCTAGAACTATAGGTACACTACTACCCAGCTTTTACCGTAGGCCAGGAATCGAACCAGGTTTCCCATGTAGCCTCAGCCTGTCAAATAGCAGATATTCACCTTGCATTACCATGGCTAGCCCTTGCACTAAATAAATTTTATAGGTGTAAAGCATTCCACTGTCTTCACATCAACAAAATTTATTTAGGCTGTTCCTTATTGTTTTATGTAATCAATATCCTCTGTACCCCCCCCAAACTTATATGAACAATAATTAACCATTTAAAAAATTGTTCCGTTTTTAAAATTTATACTTAATCACTGTACCTCTTTACAGCATACAACATGGTTTTTCCCAGCATGAATACAGTGCATATTAGTCAAGTCAAAGACATTATCATACATTATCATCAAAAGATAACTTTTCACTTTTGTGTCTATTACATTTTTTTGCCCCTCATCCCCCTCCATTCCCCTATTACCCATTCCTTTTTACCCACTCCCTTCTATACTGTCTCCAGTATCTATCAGGGAGTTGGCCTCCCTAATAATCACGGTTTTAAAAATTATTACTTTAAGGTCAGCAGGTCCCAAAACACAACAGTTATGTCCTATGCACAGGGAATAGGATCCCACATGGCTTACCACATAGTTCAACTCCTGACCCCGATGGTTTGAAAACATGTTGGACACGTGCACGTGTATGCCCAAAATCCTGAATGGATAGAAAATGGAGGAAAAAGGAACCCCGCTGAAGGGTTCTCTCTCTCTGGCAAGTGCATGTATCCGGCATTTAAACAAAACAAAACAAAAACAAAAACAAAACCCTATTTCAAGTTTTTTACTTCCCTTTCCCCTAAAATCAGACCATGTGCACTGTTTATATATCAGGTTGCTAGTAGTATCATTAGGCTGCCTTCTGTCTGATGAGAACCTTGTAAATGTGCTTTAAGTGCCAAGGGTAACAGGTCAGTACGAAAAGTATTCTCACTAGAGGAACTGAATCATTAGCAAACATGAGCTAACCATGTATCCAAAACAGCATAAACAATTCTACAGGTGAATTACTGTTATAGTACAGAACATATTATTTAAACTTTTAAAGCACAAAGATAAAAACACATTTTTTAAAATTATTTTATTTAACTTTATTTGTGTATTTTAATTTGACTAGAGAGGAACAGAGAGAGAGAGAGATGGAGATGGAAAGCGAGCCACCAAGTCCAGGACTCGAACTATGGCCAACCATGTGGGAGTCGAGCATCTTAACCACCATACCACCTGCTGGCTCCGATAAAAACAAATTTAAGGAAGAATTCTAAATAGGAAAAGCTGGGATTGTAGCATGGCCATCCTCCCTGGGGGTGTTTTCTTTCTCTCCTGTGAGCGCATATATACAACAGGAAAATCTAGATTATTTCCCTTCACTTTTCACCAAACCTATCATTACATGGATGAGGAAAGTGAGGACCCCCACCCCTAGTGGTAGCTGCTAAGCACTGAAATGCCAAGGCCAACAAATCCATCTTAACCCACAATAACAAAAGAGGCTCGAAGCGCTCTGCCAGCTGGTCCACATGAAGGTCTGGGCCTCCCATACACGCTGAGCGTGCACTAGACAGACACAAGCTGGCAGGAGGGGATCAGTGTGAAGGCCCTGCTGGACTGGCTTCTCTCTCTCTGCCTCATATTCTCTCATGGAAGAAATAAATAAAATTAAGAAAAAAAAAGAAAAAAGAAAAGAAGAAATCTCGATGAAGAGGTTAAAAATTTAACAAACGCACTGGTCAAGTGGCAGATGTTTATCACATGATGTGAAGAATAAATTTAAACAAAACCTTCGATTCTAAGAAGCCTGTACAGAAGACTGGCTTTGGAGACTATAATCCACAAAATACAATGGGGTAGCCAAAATCGTTGACCTAGAGCAGAGAAGAGAATTACATGAAAGTCGCCTTTAAATGTCACAGAAAGAGGGAACCAATGTATTCAACGTGAAGAAATCACTCAATTCATAGGAACTGTAGGACTAAGGAGTATTAAAGAGCAATGAGATCTGTCCAACAAAGGAGGGATCAGCTAGGAAGAAAGTGATCCTATATCACAAAATAAATCTATGATAAAATGAGATTTCATTAATATTAGTAACTTCCACTCTGCAAAAGGCACTGTTAAAAGAATGCAAGCCCAAGCCACATGGCTGTAGAAAGCATCTCTAGTAAACGAATCTGGTAACAGATTTGGATTCACAAAGAGGGCCATCCCCCTTTTTAAAGGTTTTTGCTTATGTGCTCATCAAAGAGACAGAAAGTGAGAAATCACCCCTCAGGGGAGATGGCCACGCCACAATCCCTTCTCCATGCTGCTCTCAGGATTTGCCACAATCCTTTCTCTATGATCTTCTTGGGATTTGGGGCACACATGTGAATTTCAAGCCACCAGGTCTAGGGCTTGAACCATGGTTGAACATGTGGGAGTCCAGCACCTTAACCACCACACCACCTGCTTGCCACAAAAACTCTTTTAAGTTGGGGTCTAGGGGGTCAGCAGGTGGTGTGGTGGTTAAGGCACTGGACTATCACATGGCTGACAGTGGTTCAAGTCTTAGACCTGGTAGCTTGCTTTCTCACTTTCTCTCTCTCTGCTAAGTACATAAGCCCTGTGACAAATTTTAAAACAGTAATAAAAATAAATTTAATAAATAATTCTTAAAAAAAAAAAAAAAAAAAAAGCAGGGTCTTGACATGTCTCATTCTGCCTCAGCCTCCCAGCTGATACTATAGGTGTGTGCCACATTAAAAAAAAAGTTATTTTATCTAATTTTATTCACTGTCATTATTTTATTTTATTGAAGTTGACCAGAGAGACAAGAGAGAGAAGGAAAGTGAGAAACCAAGCTGCCAGGTCTGGGACTCAAACTGTGGTCAGCCACATGGGAGTCCAGACGCCTTAACCACCACGCCCCCCCCGTCCAGCCCCCACATTGGGGGGGGGTCCCTTTTTTTTTTTTTTTTTTTTAAGAAAAAATAATCATTTATTTATTTGTTTGTTTAATTTGCTATAGGGCACATGCACACACAAGAAAAGAGACAGAGAGAGAGGAAGAGAGAGAGGAAAAGTGAAAAAGCAATCTGCCAGGCCGAGACTCAAACCAGCTGGCCATGTGGCAGTCCAGCACCTTCACCACTAAGACACCTGCTGGCCACTAGGCTCTTCTGTACAGGGTCTCACCATGTTGCCCATCTCACCTTCAGCTCAAATCCTCCTGCCTCAGTCTCCTGAATTGCTGGTGTTACAGGCATATTCCACTGAATCCAGCCTTTTAGGTTGGGCAGGAAATAAAATCCA